TAGCAACACTGATGAGGAACTGGTTTGCATTAAGATCATTGACACTGGTGATAAAAATATCTTCTCTGCAAGAACTGCATAGACAAAAATGGCAACTGACCAATGTTGCCAACTTACCAAAACCTCTTGTGCTATAGACACCCCCAAGCATCTTGATAGCTTTGACAATGGAAGAGTGAAACCCCTTCATTAACATTGATAGGCCCCATTGTGTGCCAAAAGTCAGTTATCACAGGATCAAAACTCCACTTGTGGAAACCTATTATTATAAGCTTGTCAGTTAGTTACAAAAGGCTGTAACATCAAGAAGACTTGTGGGTTGGAATAATAGCTCTCTCAAAGATCTAAATCAGACGCTATCTTTTTTTTACAAGTTGCAATACATTACAGAGAAAAAGAAGTTGAGAATAAAAGGGAATCTCTAGTGTCTTACAGCCACTCTGAGTAAGGTCTAATTGCAGTTTAGAAGACACTGTCTTCAGAAAAACAGCCAGCTTCCATCAGTAACAACACCACTGGACTTACAGACCGCAAAATGAATATTGAAATGTATGATTCTTCTTAGTTTAGACTTCAACATTTTTCCAATTCCGTCTCCCTCAGATAATATTTCTCAAAAGATATTTTCTGGGAGAAGATATTGTTATGGAGGGAAGGTTAAATGAAATGAAATCTTTCCATTCACTTTATAATCAACAAGTAACAATTTTATTTATCTAACTCTAACAGTAAACAAATTAACAGAACTACTAAGAAATCAAACAATCCCCCTTAACTACTAACTATTCCTAAATAAAACAAGGTTATAATGGTATGCTGTTCCAATAAATACAACTCCCACTTATACAAACCAAAGTAATAAGAAAAAAAGATTAAAACTTAGTCTCTTGAAATTACAGCCAGGATAAGTCTTCGCGAATGTCCTTTGCTTTCTCCACTATATGCTAGTCAGCAACGCCTTCCTCCATCAAATTCTTGTGTCAGGAAAATTAGCTAAGAGTGCCATAGTATCTTTATTTAGATGGTGCTTACTCTGAGATCTTAGAGATTTCAGTGAGAGCCAGTGATTTTCTCTTTCTTTAGAGCTGATGGCTGTTGAGAGCTGTTCTCTCAACAGATGGCAGTTTGCTCTTAAATCGATTTTAAAATGCTCTCTTCTTTTATCACAATGACCTATTAATTTCTTACGTTAGGATTGGTCCGAGGTTGTCAAAACTATCAGATCTAACTTTAATTGGGCTTTGGTATGTAGGGCCTGGTTTAAATTAATTGGCTAAATTCAAAAACCTGTTGTCTTGGTAAAAACGCTGCTTTGCCTGCTAACAGTATTGCCTTTTGATACAATGTTTCAATTTCAAGAACTCTCTGTATATCTGCTGCTGTCTGCAGACATTTTTAAAAATCTCCAAGCCTAAAAACAACATCTTTTAAAGGGACCATGCACTACTCCCTCCTCTCTCCCCGCTCCCCCCCACCATCATTTAACAAACAAATTCTAATGTCCTGCCTTCAAATCTACAAGTACTCTACCAACTTTGCAGCAATACCTTATTTGGTCAGGGCTTTAAGGTAAATTTTTATTTGAAACGTTGATGGATATTCTGTTCTTTGATATGGTTAGATATTTCTAGATGTTCTTAGATATGCTTGAACAATTCTAAATAACAAACTGGATTTTAGCAGATTTAGGGTCACATTTTTGATAGTTTTTAGTGTAACCATATACTTATTCACTTAAAGAGTATTTCCTGTCAATTTTTGTCAATTAAACTGTAAAATTAGTTAACTGTGTACTCCTTATTGGGGGTGTGTGGTTGGGGAAGTGGAATGTATTTTCTAACCAAGAAATCCCAGAATCTTAAAACATCTGGGACGTTTACAGCACAGCTGAGGATGATTAAAATTAAAGAGTTTATTCAGAAGGAGATAACATTCTCAGAGAGTTTCTTCCCCCGTGGACTGGTCACATCAAACCTACAGACTCGAGACTAAGCATTTGATGATGATTTATTGTCACTTGTACTCTACAATGAACAACACTGTAAAATACAGTGAAAAGCTTCAAGTGTCACCGCAATCCAGTAACATTTGAATGCTTCAAGAATAAAAAATATAAAAAGGCAATACTGAAAGAAGGTCCGTATTCACTCTGCCACCTCTACCATGAGTCCAGAGTCCTGAGCCAGCTGACCAATGACACCTGTGATGCCACCTGTAGCAGACCCACCAATGTCAGAGTCACCAATCTTCAGGCGGCATCTCTTCATCACTGGGCCCAGCCTGATGGGCCACCGACGCTAGGTTCCGTGCTGGGTCCACACTCGCCCTGCAACCAGGAGCCCTCAGCTCTGCTGCTGCCACCACCTCAATGCTAACCTGGAGACCCCGGCTCCAGGCCTACCACGACCAGGAATCCCCAACTCTGCTGAAGCCGCTGATCCCTGGAGTCCTCTCTCTGGGCCCGTTGCAACCAGGAATCCCTGCCTCTGCCTCCTGACTAGGCAGGCACCTCACCAAGATTTCCTCTCTGGCCACTCCGCTTCACAATGTCACCCCCTCCGCCATTGCCAACAGGAAGAAGATGAAGTAAAAGAAAACCAAAGAAGACAAAATGGGCAAGGAAAGAACAGAGGAAGTGACTGCCTGGACTGGACTGACCCAGGAGCTCGAATGCTGCCTATCTTGCCAACCCCACCATCTTGTATTTGTGGAATTGACGAACTCAGCGGATAGAAGTCATCAGGGAAATACTCCTGATCAAACCTAGATCTAAATAAGAGGTAAATGCTATTAATCACTTCAGCCTTGGACTACTCTGTTACACAATACTAACTGCTTCTCTTCCTGGTCCTACAGCCACCACTGATATCTCTGAGTGGGCCACCTCCTCGTAACCTCCCATGTGAATAAAGGTTCCTCCAGCTCTCTGCTCTCCATTTCTCACATTTAATCTTAGACCTTGCCCCATCACTTCTCAATCTCCCAATCACTTGAAAAAGCCTCTTCTGAACAATCAAAATTATATAGTACCTTTTAACGTTGTAGCACATGTCAAAACATTACGCGGGGTGTGATTATGCAAACTTTTTACAGTTATGTCAAGAGATATTCAAACAGGTGGCTAAAACCATTGACAAAGAAGGAGGCTTGAAGGAGCCCAGTGAAAGAGGAGAGAGCTGGGAGCTTCAGGGAATGAATGCCCCAGAACTTGGATCTTCAGCAGCTGAAGGTAGGCTGACAGTGGCACAATGAAGGAAACTGAGGAATTTGAACAAGGCCAGAATTGAAAAAAAAAGCAGAATCCTATGCTTTTACTTATTATTTTACAAAATGATTCAATCTTGACTTTCTAGTGGGATGCAGAGGTTTGACAGCTGGGGTGATTAAACAAAGCTAAGTGCTTATCTTCTGTTGCAAACCTGGCATTTTCTTTGGCACAATTTGCTTCCATTCAAGCATTTCATTTGCTGCAATGTACAAAGTGCTTTGCCCCCATTGCAGAGGTTGTTGCAATGTGCTCTTCCTATTGCAGTGGATAGATTTCACTTGCTGCAATTTGCATGAATCTGGTGGGAATATTGCACTGGGAAACAAGTCCCATTAGCCCCTAAATCATCACAAATGTGAAATAATAAGGAATTTAATCTCTGGGATGGCTAATGCCTGACTGTGGACACTATCTAGGATGTAATAAACTCACGCTAGGTTTTATCAATGAACAAGTGAACCAAAAAAAAGACCATTTATTATAACACTTATTCCTTAAGACAGATACAGCCATAGAGTCATACAGCATGAAAACAGACCCTTTGGTCCAACTGGTCCCTGCTGACCATGTTCACAAACTAAAAAAAATGAAAGAACTGCGGATGCTGTAAACCAGGAAACAAAACAGAAGTTGCTGGAAAAGTTCAGCAGGTCTGGCAGCATCTGTGAAGGAAAAAGCAGAGTTAACATTTCGGGTCCACTGACCCTTCCTCAGAAGGAGAAACGTTAACTCTGTTTCTTCCTTCACAGATGCTGCCAGACCTGCTGAGCTTTTCCAGCAACTTTGTTTACGTTCACAAACTAAACTAGTCCCACCTTTAGCGTTTGGACTTAAACCAAATCTAACTATCAAAATTAATTAGCATCTTGAAGGATTATTAATTACTAATATGCAACTTAAACTATACCCCAATCCACACATATACTCATTCAAAGCTAGGATAAATAAGACAGATGAGACAGTCTTTTTAGAAATTAAGCAAATAAACTAAAGAACTGTGGATGCTGGAGTACTGAAACTAAAAGCAAACTTGCTGGAGAAACTCATGAACCCTGGTAGGATCTGTGGGAAGAAAGCAGAGTTAACATTTCAAGATGCTGCCTGACCTGCTGTGTTCCTCTAGCTCGACACTGTATCGATTCTGACTTCCCAGCCGGCAGTTCTTGCTATCTTCATGTTTTCCCCCATTGTAGTGATGGAATTGAACTTCCTGCATCATGTCTCCCCGCAGTGCATTGATTGCATTTCACTTGCTACAACATGTTTCCCCCCACTGCAGTGATGGAATTGAACTTCCTGCATCATGTCTCCCCCCAGTGCATTGACTGCATTTCACTTGCTACAACGTTTCCCCCCACCACTGCAGTAATTGAACGGCATTTGCTGCATCGTGTTTCCCCCCATTGCAGTGATTGAATTGCACTCACTGCATCGTGTTTCCCCCTCATTTGCAGTGATTGAATTGCACTCACTGCATCGTGTTTCCCCCTCATTGCAGTGATTGAATTGCACTCACTGCATCGTGTTTCCCCCCATTGCAGCGACGGAATAGCAATTGCTCCATCGTATTTCCCTCCCGTTACAACGATCTCTTGTCACTGAGTGGATTCGGCAACGCTGCGCGCGCGGGGTATCGCGGCAGGGACGTTGTCAGGTGCGCATGCGCACTGCCGAAGCCCAGCCGCCCACGTGATGTAGATGTTTCTGGGATGTGGGTTGCCTGGTGAGCGGCGGGGAGATGACAGCTCGCCCGCCCCATCATTTCACCGTTTCACAGGCGGTGCGCGGTCGGTTGGTTTTTTTTGCTCCCTGTTCGTTTGTGTTTTGGTAAGGAAGGGGTTTGACAGCGCCGCCCGGCTCGGACGCCATCTCTGTCAGGATGAAGTTGTTCTCCGAGGCGCACAAGACGGTGTTCGTGGTGGATCACTGCCCGTACATGGCCGAGTCCTGCCGGCAGACGGTGGAGTTCGACATGTTCACCAAGAACCGGGCCCCAGGCATCATCCCGCTCGCTCCCATCTCCAAATCCCTGTGGACCTGCGCCGTGGAGTCGGCCATGGAGTACTGCCGCATCATGTACGACATCTTCCCGGCCCGGAAACTGGTGAGAGGCCGGGGCCCGGCTGCCGGCGGGCCCGGGGGGGGGGGGGGGGGGGGGGGGGGGGGGAGGGAAGGGGAAAGCAGATGGGGGGCAGAGAAAACTTGGGGGAGAGGGGGGAGGGGGGCGGAAGCGGAC